TCAATGAATTATTACTTATGAAAAGGAGCAATACTTGCAATGGAATGTCGTTTTCTAAATGCATTCAGTTTTTTGTGACACACTAAATTAGTCTTATTGAGGGGAAGGCGGGCCCACCTAGATATTATTGCACCCGGGCCCTCGGCTACCTTGCTACGTACTGACTACATGTATATCGTGTGACATCTAGTACAAGTGCTGTCGCGAAGAGTTTAGATTAGAGATTGCGTGCATTTAGTATTAATTGTCTTCAGCAAATGATGTCATCGAGTTCTGTGCTTTACGTCATTTCTTCTTAAACCTAGCAACCAACCCTGTGAACACACTCATCTACTACTCCAGGCCAAAAAGTGGGTCGCCTGAGAGATCGCTAAACAGCTAAAAAGGTTTAATCTCACACTTTTGAACAGATCGTAAGTTATATCTTCGTAGCAGAGGCGTAGTGGGAGGATAAGGGGCACGATACTTCGGTGGCCACCCTCAGAGAGACGCGCCACACGCAGCCTATATTCCTATGTGATATTCACTAAAAATAAGGGGGGAACCGCAATAAGGTTCCTTGCCCCATTTTGCTCACTACGCCTCTGCTTCGTAGTTCGTCACCATATAGAAGAAGACTAAAAGTCAGTAAAGTAAGAAATAAAATTAAAAAACATTTTTTTCCAGTAACTCCATTTAGTAAGATGAAAGGCACGCCCCTGTGGAAGGGGGGATACTCAATTTAAAATCTGTGACTAACCTTAAAATCTGTTCAATGATTTTATTTGTCTATCTTACAGGATAGCTAAACAGTCTGCACCATGTCGCAGAACTATTTTGTGAGGATTATTGTAAACTAAATTAAGTTAAGGTCAGTTCCAATTGCACAATCAATCTCTTCCCTCTAGGAAATGTCAGAATAGACAAACAGACACAGATTAAGGCGGACAGTGAAGAAAGAACTTAACTGATCATTTGGTATTACTCTACACACACAACTGAAATGATCTTGCTGGAACAGTCGATGGCAGTGTTTCTCAACCGTTTTCCTTAACGGAACACTTCGCACATTCTGAGTATTTAGCGGAACACTTGGCTTATTTTTTAGAGAGATTAATTCATGTGGTGGTCTACTAGTTAATTATTTCAGCAGTTCGTAGAACACCTATTCAAGCCTAGTGGAGCACTATAGTTCAGCGGCAGTTCTGTGACAGTTTGGGAACCACTGGTCTATAGCATAGACACATCTTAATCGTTGTGTACCAATTTACAGTATAGGACCACACAAGTACACTGTTTCTTTAACAGTTTGCATTGGACACGCAACTAAAGATTGCTGATGCTGTGCTTTCATTAAGAGTATGCGACCGCTGTAATAGGCAAGTGATCTGATGTAATAGTTACGGAGTGGGAACTTGTTGCGTAAGTTGATTGGAGGGCATCTTAAGCGCGAAGCACTTTTGAACATGTTGCGTTTTATATTTGAATTAACCTCAACTTCCAAGAAAGAAAGGAAGAAAGAAAGAAAGAAAAATAGATTGATAGATTGAAAAGACAGACAGGTTACGATTGACATTTTTTAAAAATTATTTAAGGAAAAGAACCGCTAATTACTATCATTTATCTGAAAATTACAGGGTTTAGCTCCCTTTCTGTTATATAAAACAAAATTAATTTATTAGTACTAAATGATTAACTAATTTGTTAATTTCGGATTGATTCGTGTGTTATCATCGACAATGAATAAGCATGCACAATTTCAACTTGATTCGAGAATGGGAAGTTGGAGTAAAAAAACGTGTCAAAACGTAATAAAGGGGATTTAATCCATACATTATTATTACAGCTTTTATATATAGCGCTACTTTCATGCTTATAGCATGCTCAGAGCGCTTTTGGTCCAATCTCATATATGGACCAGTGGGGGGGGGGGGGGGGGGAAGGGGATATCTAGGAGTTGGTTTCCCGTGCTGCCTTTAGGCGCTCAGTAAACACAACTTTGCCCGAGTCGGGTGTCGAGCTTCGAGCCCCCCTATCAGGTAGCCAAGTTAAGCCAAGTTCAAGTGCACTTGGCCTCTCGACCACGCTTCCCACCACATACATCCCACATCTCTAATTAACTACATTTACTCCCCTTAACTTCAATATCAAACAAAATAATTAATCACAAAAAATTAATTAATTGGTGAATTTTTTTTATTGAATTTTGTCTTGTCAGGTACAATGAATAATTGTGCAAAGTTTTTTAACTTGATCTGAGAATGGGAAATTGGAGAAAAAAACAACGTTTATACTTTTTACCAGACAGACAGATTGGCAGACTGACAGAGTGAGTGGATATAAGCTTTGTAGAAAAAAAAAGTGCTCCCCCGAAAAAATAAATATCTTTAAAAATATATAGGTCTAGTATATAAATAGGCCTGCTTCAGTATTCTGTACACCGGGTATACCATAAAGCTTGATACTTATGGATATGCCTCCGTTTCATAAAAATCTCATTTACAAAGCGTTGAAGCAGTGGCGTCACTAGGGTGGGTGTCACCCGGTGCGGACCGCACCCCCTCTAGTGACGCCACTGCTTGGAGTAGGGAAGACGGGGAGGAGAACAGAATAAAAAAAAGGTTTAGGTACATTCAGTATATTTAGTTCATGTACTGAATGTTGTTTGATCCGCTCGTCAAGAAAGTTTGACACCACAAGTTATGTATGAACTCGCTATCTTTTAATGACTCTATGGATTTGTGTGTTATCATTGATATCAATCAGACTTGTTTTGTACCGAGTGATTAATTTGAAGGCATTCTGTATCGAGTTTGTCTAAATCACATACATGAATCATAGAATACAGGAATGTAGGGGACATAAATCGGCAAGTGTTTGTACACGCAATCAAACAGTTCATTGATTAAGACATAATCAAACAAGCAAAATAGGCAAATATACTGTTTAAAAAAAAACAAAGCTTATATTAAATGTATCAATGAGTTTGGATCAGCTAAACCACCACTTTAGTCAAGTACTATTATTATTTGAGATACCAAACAAAATAATTTATTACCAATAGATGAATAAATAATTGGTTAATTTTTAAAATTGATTCTTGTGTTGTCAGGTAAAAGAAATAATTGTGCAAAATTTAAGCTTGATCCGAGACTGGGTGTGGGAGAATTAACGTGTACAAACTTTTTATCATACAGAAGGAGTGAGTTGTAAGCTTTGTAAAAAATACTTCCTTAATACTTTCCTAATACTTTCCTAATGTGGTAATTAAGGGAGACATCCTTGAATACTGAAGCAACGCTGTATCTGTTGTCCCTTTCTTGTTAGACAATGATAACAGTTTAAAAAAAAAACACTATCAATCTAATAGGTTGGCGCGGTGGTCAGGTGATAACTGACCTTACAGACATCTTCGGGGCTCCAAATATAAAAAAACAAAGATTTTTTTATATTGGTCACAGAACGGTACTGCTTCCCTCCCTTGGTTATCATCATAGCCTTGCACTGAGGCTTAGTGCTGGGACTTGCAACATTGTACGGAAGGTCCTCGGTAAAACACTGTTAAGGGGAGACTACAGTGAAATTAATTTTTTTCTGTTTTAAATCTCAAGATCTGGCATTGCTTTGGGCAAAAACCGCTAACACATTAGCTATAACAATTAAATTGATTTTAATAAGAATAGCAATAATTCTAATAATAATTAGATGAACTAGTGATGACAAATACACTATGTAGTAGCCAACATTTAGTTTAGTTTATTGATATACAAATTAGGTAAAATGATATGTTTGTTTGTTTCTTTAAAAAATGTGCAATAGCAGTACAGCGGAGACAATGAGCCTAAAAGCTAAGTTTCAAATGCAGGGCAAACAAAAGACAATTTCATCCAATTTAATCAAAATTTCAAATTTAAATTAAACATTTAAAAGTTTAATCGATACCTCTAAATTTTGTGGAAAAATTTTGATAAACTCTATGTGTCATTTTATTACCCTTACTTCAGTGGAAATCTGATTCATATTTCAAAGTCTCACAATTGTTAACATTTTGGTCATTATTTCTATGATAGCTCTCTCAAGTGGAAGGAATATTATAATCTAAATTTAGAACCAAAATAAATAAATAAAAGAACAATATAAAAACATATGCTCCATTTTGTTGTGGTATAGCGTTAGTGTTTCAGTAGTTACGCTGAGGTGGTCACTTGTAGTCAAACTGAATTTCCGTTTGATCGGACCAATACAAATTATCTTATCTTATCAACTTTCAGCAATCTTCTACTTAACTCTCAAGGTTTCAATTTTCGGTGCGTATGAAAATTGTTATATCCCCTAATTTAATGCTGATTATCGCCATCACCTGGAGTTTCAATAATGAATGACCATTACATTTATGACCATTACCAGTCTTTTACAAGTCACGGAAGATGTGTATCGCTTTTAGTTTATTGAGTGTTGGTTACCATGTAAGACAGAATTGGACATATACATTTGCAAGAGAAAGGCTCAATATTTTACAAACACACACCTTTTTAGAAATAACAAATTATTGGTTTTTATGCTTTCCTTCTATTATTTCACGTTCTAAAGCAGACGTATATTCTTGACGTTGTAACTGATTACAGTGAAATGGTGCGATTGCATGTTGAAAGGGGAAGAGAACCAAAATGAAGGAATATGAACAGGAAAGTGTTTTGAGTGTTAATAAAGATTAAAGTAAAAAAACAAAAACAGATTAATATAAACTGTGCAATGACAAAAAAAAACAAAACAAGTATGAATCCTATTAGAGCAAATGTTTTTTTAAAAAGCTATATCATTGAATGTATATTTTTTCCGTTTGATTATGTACTATAGCTTACTTGAGGTACGCATGTGTTTGGTTGTTTTTGTTATTTTTGCGGTGCCCAGTGTAAGGAGACAATGTGGAAGTAGAGTTGAATAAATCAACTATACTTACATTCTAAACAACAACAACAACAACAACGAACAGAAACAGAACTAAAAAAAAATGTTCAAGAAAAAATCTATTAATTTTATTAAAGAGAGTACATCACTATAATTGCAGAATAGTTTACAATATAAGACAATTAATATGTGTATATAAAATAGAGTTCTAATGAAATACCAAGAAAGAAACATTTAAAACATGCTGCCAGTATGGAATGATTATAGAAGGAATTTTACTTTGTGTCCGATATTGACATTTTAATATAAACTCTGTGAGGAAATATATAGGCCCCAACATAAGACACATCTACATTTCTCACTCTAGTTTATCTCAATCCAATTGTTTTTATGGAAGTGGTCACCATGGAGAAATGTCTTTAAAGTTCATTCTCTCAAGCATCCAATGAGGCTGTTCCACACTTGTCCCCCACTTATTACGCACCTGTCCCACACATAGTCCGCTCATGGCCCACACATATCCCACACATAGTCCGCTCATGGCCCACACATAGTCCGCTTATGTCCCACACATGTCATACACTTGTCCCTCACTTGCCCCACACGGTTCAGAACTTGTCTTTTCATCTCCTGGACATTAACATAATTTGAATTGTTATTGCTTGGTGACGTCATCATTGCACGCCCTGCAACCCATACAAATAAGAAGCGAGTTTCACTAACATTTAAGGAATTAAAAAAAAAGATAATCTTCAGTCCCCTCCGTTTCAATAGTAGGCTGGCTAAAGTAGTAGAGGAAGAAAACTATTGTGGAGTTGTGGAGTATTCGGGAGGTGGCAACCTTTCCTACGACACAAATATTAAACAGAAATATTTTGACAAATTTGACACGACGGTGTAGGACACGTAGCACAGTATCACTCAACCCTTCCTATTTGTTTAATCATTAAAAAAAAATACTCATTAACACTTATTACTACAGGTGTCTCTTTTTTTTCCTTCTACAAAAACTTAACTTAAAAGCTACTATAACACCAGAGTAGAAAAGAAAAGAGAAAAAAAAATAATAAAAGAAATACGTTATTTAATAGAGTGATTAATTATTTTAAGCTGTGAAACCTGGATTGGATTCTTATTTTGTAGGTAACCTAAAATTAATTATTAATGTGTATAGCTTAAATGAAGTGATACATCAACTAATCAATAGTGCCGTAGAGCTGTAATGTGACAATGAGTAATGATTACGTTACTACCAAAATGTAAACACGCAGAAAGAGACAAACAAAAAACTCAATGGAGAAAAAAATCCAATTACAAACCAGTTCTAAAAATAGATTTCAATGAATTGTCTCGTATGTAAAAGTATCTAACAGTTTTAGCACTGCAACGAACAATCTATACATCCATTCCTGCGAACAGAGTACATACCCGACAATCCCATTAAAGTAAATTTTTTTTTTGTTTGGAGCCATTCGGTGTACTCTATTTTGGCTCATTATTATAATTAAAACATGCATTTCATTAAATTAATAACAAAAGTTTAAGAAATACAGTGCTTTTTTTTTGTGACGGTTACGCACCGGTATGGCATACTGGCACTTTCTTTCAATGTGGGGAAAACATTGAAAGCTTTCTTGTATTTTAACAATTAATATTAATTTCATAGTAGTTAAAAGTCAGGCAATTCATCACTGAGTACGCGCACCTATTTTCTTACAAAACGAAGCACTAAAGAAATATATACTCAAATCATACACATACTGCCTATTTTTACAACAGATTTTTGTAAAGAGACTTTTAGAAGAAAATACGTACATGGTTGATGACAGCAATAGCTGAAAATATTGAACACATATAACAAAAAAAAAGTCATCATAACTAGGAGATTGCATCAAAGCAAGGACAAAATAAAAGCGAAAAGTTTTGAGTTGCATAAAAAATCAACAACTAATAATTTAACACAAGCCAAGTGAAAAGTGATGATTTGAGATGTGAATAATAAAAACATTTTTTCAAAAAGATCACTACTGACCAGTGGCGCAGCTAAGAATGTGCCATCATTTGGAGGCCCAGGGGGCTTGACCTTTTTGGGGGCCAGTGTATTTTGCATAAATTTAATAGTTAATGTAAAAAAAAACAAAAAAACACTCATTTGGGGGCCCAGGGGAATTTTTAAATTCTCCCCCTCCATCCCCCCACCCTAGCTACACCTCTGCTACTGACAAAATAAAAACGCACAAGCAAAGGTAGACAACTTTGTTATATATAGAAAACCAATTTAAATACAGGATCCACAGTGGACACAAGAATTATTCTTAGATGAAATAATTGAGACCCTTTATTTTTTTCTTGAACTCTTTCTGCGTTCTCTTAAAAATTCAAGACCGTTGATACTTAATTATTGATAATTAATGTTGTAGAATATGCGATATTATTTTCATAAATTGATCAATGTCCACCCAAAATCTTATCAATTTTCCATCAGGATTTATAAGCTAATTTGTAACAGAGACATTACTATCCCAAACTAAACCAATCAAATAGTATATCTCATGCTTATAGCAAATTGTCCACAGCATGTTCTACCGTATCAAAACCATTTCACAAAATGTATGTGTTTTTTTTTTTTTAGTGTATATATCTTATTCAGTGCTTTCTCCACAAGAAGAAGAATTTAGGCAGGTACAAACTGAACTGATATAGTCATTAGTGTTTAGGGGATAACTCCAAGTTCAATGATAACATTCTAAATGGAGTAAAAACCCTAATGCCGTACCCATTATTTCATTACTACCTGCAAACTTACAAAGAACGTTTTTTTTTTTCGGGGGGGGGGGGGGGTAATAGAAACCAACATTTATAAAAATTTTTAAAATTAGTTTTATCATGAAGAAAAATAGGCAAACTAGAATTCATAAAAATTATTTGTAGGCTTAGACTACAAAAAGAGCAAAGTTAATACTCCCAGAAATACATAAAACTTGGACAGAAATTGATTTCTCTGAGCTGAACTGTTATTATTTCCCGATGCACCATGTTGGTGCTCATAAACGTCTGTGTAAGCTGGTGCAGCTGTTGTGGTGGGCACTCTTTTAGTTGTAGTGGTTGCTACAGAAGTGGCAGCAACACACGTGTCTCCAGCCAGGGTGTCTTCAGCATCTCCGCAGCAGACAGTGTCTTGGAATTGGTTGCAGTCTCGCTTCTTGTAGTTCAGAAACTGCTTGGAGCCGATGCCGCAGATAGAGCACCGCAAGCATTCCAATTCACACTCGCATTTCCGCTCTCGGTAAAAGTCAGCTCTGCAGCTGATTTCAGCGTCTCTCGTGCTGTTACATTCAGCCACTAGCTCTTCAAGCTGTTGAAAGAAAAAAAATAGTCCTCTGATTTTTGGCCTTAGCAAAGATTGCTCAAGTACATTGCTAATAATTTGTAAAAGCATTAGGGTAATAATTCTGAGACCTCTTTCTTAATAACGCAGCTCGTCCCTTCTTGGAAGCTATGATTTAACTAGACAAGACACAATGGTTTACTTATAACAGACGTAGGCTACTTTTTACGTGACCTGCAGATGAGATTCTTAATCATACACTAAACAGACTCATCTATGAGTCTAGATTATGAGGACTTTAATCATCTTGGTTTAACAAATAATAATGTCTTAATAACTTCGTTTGCGTTACTGCCACAGACCTATATATATTGTTACGATCTTCTCTATCAGGTCTTCTGCAAACACTGCTAAATACTACTAAACAGCACATCAAACACAAGAACTTGACAAGAGCTTCAAGTAACAAAGTGGCAGTTTAATTACAATGACATCGACAGCCAATTTAACACAATTGGCTACACTAACTTCAAATGCTTTGCTACACACCAGAACTGCCTAACTAAACATTACAAGTCTTTCTAGCTCGTACAGCTACATTCTCGAGGACTTAGAGGTACCACAAGTTTTTACTGCTTTGCTGTCCTGCACTCAACTGTCCTTTTTTACACAATTGTCTCTAGTCCGTGAAGGCTCTGGATCTTATGACCACAACATGGGTCATATTTGCGTGAACTAGCAGTACTGTCCCTTGTCTATCGACAGCCGTTGACCCGTTGACCAGTGTGATTGGCCTGAGTCGTGTGTATCAGGGGGCCTCACACACATTAACCCTTTCAGTCCGCCACTGGAGTTACTACAATATATTATATCTAGACTGGACACACAGATGTTCTAACACAACAAAAATTGTCGTGTAAAACTTCAAAAAAATAGCTGAAACAAGGCGTTGTTTTTTTGTATAATTTAATGTTTAGATCTAGGTCTGATAATTTCGACTTCCACAAGTACAAGGCAGGAGAGACCCTGGTCGTCAACTTTTATGGTATACTGATGTACATAAAAACAACATGAAGCTCTTCAAAATCGACACTAGCAGTGGGAAAGGGGACACTGGATAGATCCACATGGAGAGAGAGAGAGAGCATAAAGGAAGGGTCCCGGATTGCAGACGCCATACACACCAGAAGTAGAACGAAGGGTGAAAATACAACGGCGCCTGGTGATTACAGATGCCCCAACCTGTAGACTGCAGCTGTGTAGCCTATCTTTAGTCACATAAGAATTTGCAAAGGGAAAAGATTATCTCTCGAGACGTAAAATGCCACAGACTTAACAACAAAATCTTGTGAGAATTTTAATATTGTAAAAAAAAGAACAATAATAGAAAAAAAAAATCTTGTTCACTAAAAACGGATTTTTAGCGGCCCCAGAAAGGGGAAAAGACGCTATTAGTTTTGTGCGAAATGTCTGTCCGTCTGTGCCGTTTAGATCTCGTAAACCATAAAAGATATTGAAAATCCGACATCACAATATTTTAGACCATTCAAAGTTTTGATGCAACGGCTACTTTTTTTTTTCTGAAAGCGAAAAATCTAATTTTTAAAATCAGTTATGCAAGCTGTTTTTTAAAGAGAAAAAGCTAATTAGTATGCATTATAAATTAGACCTAATTTAAATTGAATAGTAATCTTGTAGATTTCATTTTTCCTTTACTTTTCGTTCGCATGGAAGTATGTGTGTAATGATCCAAACAAGAGATTGACCTTTTCTAAGCAATTAGATCAATTATAAGACATCAATTAGGCCAGAGGAGGCGCGGTGGCTGAGCGCTAAAGCGCTTGGCTTCCGAACCAGTGGTCCCGGGTTCGAATCCTGGTGAAGACTGGGATTTTCATCTTTGGGCGCCTCTGAGTCCACTCAGCTCTAATGGGTACCTGACATTAGTTGGGGAAAAGTAAAGGCGGTTGGTCGTTGTACTGGCTACATGACACCCTCGTTAGCTAGCCGTAGGCCACAAAAACAGATGAACTTTACATCATCTGCCCTATAGACCACAAGGTCTGAAAGGGGAACTAGTTAGGCCAGGTTTACATCTAACTATACATTCACTTTTACCTATCCTTTGATCTGCGGGACCGTTGGAGCACTACAGAAGATATGTTAACGTTCTTTCTCCATTCTTATCTCTCATTGGTCTTTGATATAATTTCATTTGGATGTTCTTTCTCAAAATATTGGGTGAACCACTTCGGGGGCCGATTTTGAGTTTGTGTCTCCACACAAACTGTCTTTTGTAACCTTGTTAAATTATGGTTTCTTCAACTTAATATTGACTATAAAAAAACACAAGAGAAACAAATAAAATACTTTTTAAAAAAATCTTATAATAAATGCAATTGTATCAAATAGTTTGGATCAATCAAGAATAAATATATTATTATTATAATGATCTAGCCATAATAAATTTGTGCAACTAGCAATAGTTTTACCAATTGTTTTGTTTAACTATCTCAATGCGCAATAATCCTATCTCATGTCTGGGCCAGTTGTAAAAGGGGGAAGGTAGAAGGGGGTATCTTGGTGAATGTTTACATAATCGGTTTTTTTGTTTTAATGCATACAAAAAATTTCACTCAGGGCTCGAGTTTTGAAGTGGACTAATTCAACTAATAACACCACATCTGTCAAGTACGATTTCTTTCCCTTGTTCAATATACCAAACAAAATAATTACCAATAGTTGATTAACTAATTGGTTAATTTTTTTTTATTGATTTTATTGTTGTCAGGTAAAAGAAATAACTTCAGAATTTCAGCTTGATCCGAGATTGGGTGTGCAAACCTGAATGAGTTGATATAAGCTTAAAAAAAAAAAAAAAAAAAAAAGGTAAACTAAGGCTCATTGTTAAACGATTATCAGATCTTATACAGACTTTCGTTTACAGTACAAAATCAGGAGAAAAGAGAGAAACGGTCAAGCGAAATACTGAATTCCATGACATAACACTGAAAGAAACTAGATCTGTGTACATTGAAACGAGAAATTCACAGGTAAGGACAGGACAGGTAAGGACAGATATTATATACGTATCATGTTCTTATGTTATCAGGTATAAGAAATAAATGTGCACAATTTCAGCTTAATCCGAGATTGGGTGTGGGAGAAATAGCACGTACAAACTTTTACCAGACAAACAGACAGAGTTGATATAAGCTTTGTAAAAAAAAAAAGTTGAATGACAGCCTGTGCGTCGCACACTTCGCTTCAATTTATGGGGGCAGGGTAGGTGTAAGATTGTTGTGATGTCAGGTAGGAATTAAACATATCATAGTTCGAAATATATATTCAGGAAATAGTCAAAGCCTTTATTTAAAACTTTTTTTTTGGGGGGGGGGGGGGGGGGACAATGTGCTTTACTTTAGTGAAAACTTATGTTTATTATAAAAAGTTAAATATAATTATAGCTTTTATATAGCGCTGTTTTCATGCTTATAGCACGCTCAGAGCGCTATGGTCAAATCTCATTTGTGGACCAGTTGGGGAGGGGGTATCTGGGAGAAGGTTTTCCGTGCTGCCTTTAGGCTCTCAGTTAACACCACTCTGCTCGAGTCGGGTATTCAACCTCCAGCCCCCTTCACAGTTAGCCAAGACAAGACAAGTTCAACCGTACTTAGCCTCTCGACCACGTTTCCCGTGGTTTATTTTTACTTTCTCAGAACTTCTGGCGCCAAAAGACACGGCACGCGAGAAGACGTCTCGTATCGCTGCTGTTGACTATTTGACAACAAGTAACCCTTTTAAGTATGTTGTATCACAAAGGGATTACATGGGTTAAAAAAAAACATTTACATCTTGGAGGCAGGTTCAAATATTATTTAAAACTAAATTAAGTAAAACTTACATCGGGCGTCTCAACCTTTAAGCAGGCCGTGCAGAAGATGTATTTCTTTGTCTTGGCCATGGCTGCTGTCATGAATGTCCCTTGTAAACAGGGAACGCATTGCTGCTGGGAGTTGATGTACTTTCCCGGTCCGCAGGACTTATCTAGAATAGCGTTTTCTCTATACCACTCCATTGGTGTTTCTCTTGAAGGAATGTCAGGGTCACACTCCGTACACAATGACGTCACAGAGACTGGTATTAAAAAGCAAGCTATAATTAACTGGACGGGCGTCATTTTTTAAATTTGTGGCAGAATCATATGTTGCTTTCACTCTGTAATTAAACAAAGGAAAAGAATGTGTGTGTCTGTATACATACATATATATATATATATATATATATATATATCATGGGCGTATCCAGGATTTTTTTCGGGGGGTGGTGGTGAACCCCCCCGGCTACGCCCAATATATATATCATGGGCGTAGCCTGGGGGGGGAGTTGAGTTCAATTCCCCCCCCCCGAAATTAACCCCCCCCCCCAAAGGGGGGAAGTCGGAATTTAATGACTGATTTTTTGCTTTTATTTTGTTTATTTTAGGTGAGTTTTTAATACTAAACCATCACT